TATATATATACATATATATATATATATATATATATATATATATATATATATATATACTAGCTGCTGTACCCGACCACGCGTTGCTGTGGCATAGTTTGGCTAAATGGGAAATAGAGAACACAGAAATCTGTCTTCGCTTCACGCCAGCGATGTACAGTGCAACAGCTAAACCACAGCTAATAATACTTTGAGTGGTTAAGGCAGTTACTGTAACTTAAATTTGTCTCAGTAAACAGTTTATTTTAACCACCCATCTCCCACTTCACCTACTACTTTCTCCCTGATCGAAGTAGTTGGAAAAATTACCCTAGTGAAAAACATTGAAAACAGGAAAAATACACCATAATTACGAAATGAACACATTTGCTAATTGCTGTAAACTACCCTGCACACGTTGCTACAATAGAAATTGAAAGGAAAATCGCTTTAACAAAATGTAATTGTATTGGATCATTGTGCCGATTTCATTTCTTTAGGAAAAAACAGGTAATTTAAAATGACATTGTAAATGTGTTAACTGAAGTGCTTTCGGGTAAACAACGTTCTTTGTTTTTTCGTCTGGCGCGTACACAGATAAATCAAAAGGTTTTCCGACGCCAGAATTGGCCACATATAGCAGTCCATGTGAAAAGCATGGATGTTCCAAATATAGTCCACACACTTGTAGCGATTGTCCCTGTAATTTGTTTATGGTCATTGCGAAGGCGAGTCGCACCGGAAACTGCAAGCGTCTGAATTCAAATAGCATGTCTGTTGGAATCATTAGGATGCGTGGCAATAGTATATTCTCGCCCTTAAATTTCCCATTTAGAAGTGTACCTTCGATTATATTGGGCATCAGCTTTTTCACTGAAAGCCTGGTACCATCGCAAAGTCGTGGCGGATTGATGTTTCTGAGAAGAATGATAGGCACGCCAATTTTCAAGGTTAAAACGTGGGGTTTCATGCCTGGCAAATCAAGTGAATTCAAGAACTCAGTTGGATAATTGACAACCACATCCTTATTCATTACAGTATCGATACGTTGTCACTCCGCCTGGTAATTTGTCTTGGATGTTCAGAGTCATGGCATATACATCCTTGTTTTAAGCTGCTAAGATTGCACGTTCACTGAGCACTGACGATTTATGTAATTATGTGTGATATTAGGAAAAACTTCGTCCTATATAATGAGTAATCTGGTAATTTTAATTTCAGCTTCATAGCAAACGGGTCACCCCATCTTTGCTCCGCTCCTGTACCAACGAAAAACACACAGAATGTTTATCACAGTCCCTTGTGGAAAGACAAACTACTGTGTCAGCAAATCTAGCATACACTCGCATTAAAAGCATATGGTAGCCATCCGAAGTGCTAACACAAACAGTGTGACGTTAGAAATGCAGTACTTTATCCATTGCAGAATCATTGTTGATATTGCATGTTCGTGTCTTAGTGATATGCATATTGAAAAGCAACTTCAGTGCTGAATGCGCTGTTCGGCCACCACCCGAAAGAGTTGCGGTAAATCCAGAAGATGCGATTGCCAGTGCAATATTATTTTGTGACCGTATGGATGCCAAAATAAGCAAAATGAGAAAGGTCTTGCCTGTCCTCCGGGTGCATCTATGAAATACAATCCTCCGTGTTGTCTTGTAACGGCATGCATAATTGTGTCATATGCTATACGTTGTTCTGGAACTAATTTTGGAAGATTTGTTTAAACAAATGTACACAATTCGATGACATCAAAGTGTGTCTCTCGTTGCAACTCACGATCGAAAAGGTTGTTTGCAGATCGTTCTGGTGGAGCCAGTCCCAGCTGAACCAGTGCTTTATTAGTTATTGCCAAACATATGTCCCCAATGCAAACCGATGCCTCATTATATACATTTGGTGTGAATTGAAGGTCCTGATCTTGCTTCGTTTCACGCCAGCCATGTAGGATGTCTTCACTCATGTAGTCTTTGTATTTTTCCCAAAGCTCTTTTGGATTGGATGGGAAGCAAGTTGTTAATATTATTGCAAATAATCTGCCTATTTGCTGTGGTCGAGCAGTATTCGAAGCATCAGCGAGTGAAGTGTCCCAATGTGACTCATTTTCAAGAAAATTTAATTTTTGGCAAGCTTCACAGTAAGTAGCACATACTTTACCATAAACTGTTCTCAAGTCCTGGAAGGATGTCGGTCCCCGTTTGTTGATTAAAAGTAATCGCAAGGAAAAGCAATCTGCATTTTTGGGATGAACGGTGTACAGATGGCCTAAAACATCAGTAGAATATAAATTAGGATGCCCGTCAACCGCTTGACCTTGCTTGCAACGTTGAAACTATTTAGCTGATGCCTTCCACGTGTAGTATGTTGGCAGGTCAGAGTGAAGTAGTGTCTTTGCAAACATATCATCTTTACATAATGAGAAAAATCAGTTAACGTGGTTGGCGGTGGTAACAATGCTAGTGCATGTGCATTTTCTGAAGTGAAGTACACGCGCTGTCCGTTGTCAAGGTGCACTGCCAAATGAACAACTGCTGGATGTCGTTCATGAATTGGAAATGACAAAATGCGCCATACCGCTTCATTGCTACTAATGTAGCGCCCCAGCTGATATTGCTTGATTTCATCGATAGATGCAGCTGCATGTCCCACTCCAAAGACTGCCATATCGCCTCCTTTGTTGACATATTTGCAAATGTACTTATGTTTGTAAAGAATTGTGTCGACTGGTCTGTGTCACCTGCTATCAATGATGATAATGGTTCGGGTGTTGAATGTAATACTGGCAATTAAACTTTTCCACCAGCGCAGCCAAACCCGGCGTGTCATTCTTAAATTTGAAGGCACTGCAATGTACGCACAATTTATCCAATTTGCCAATAAGCACCTGTGGATGAAGACTGTAATCATAATTGCTGGTGTAATTGAATGCACCAAGATTCAAATCAACATGCAGTGTTCGCCTCGATATAGTAGTGCGCATTCGAACGGTGTCCAGTCTTGCTTTCCGTTGCTCGACTGTGTCTGATAAACGGACTTGAGCAGTGAGTACTCTATTGGTTTCCAGTCTTGCTTCCCGATGCTCGTCTGACTGAGACGATCTGGCTTCAGCAGTGCGCACTCGAACGTTTTCTAGTCTTGGTTTCCGTTGCTGGTCTGATTGAGATGAACGGGCTTCAGCAGTGCGCACTCGAATGGTTTCCAGTCTTACCTCACGTTGCTCGTCTGTGTCTGAAGCAATTAATGCCCTTCTCTTGCGTGTTTTAGGTGTAGATGGGCCAATCGCTTGTCGTTTGGGAAGCATAACTGCAAATTTTGTGAGCGCTGATCATCAATAGCTTGTTCGTCCTCATGCACTGAATGAAATGTGACTTGAAGTATCGCTGAAATAAATGAAAATATGAGCATGAGATAACAATCTATTTTGACAAGAGGAAATGCATATAAACTGGGCAGCAAATAGTAAGAAAAGGCGGTATATAAAATAATAAGAGAAAGCCAACAGATAATGTGCATACATTTATCATTGTGGGATTTAAGGAGTGGTCAACACATGTATTTGAAGTTAAACAAATGTACATAATTACTGATGTCATTGAAATAAATGCGCTCACCTGTTGAGATATTTCTAGATTCTAACGCTGACCTGAGACGGAATGTCATGTAAATTTATGTAATTCTTTTGAATAACAGAAGAAAGCCAACCAAAACTGTTGTACTCATGAGTAAGAGTATGAGAAAGATAACAGATAATGATTAATGATAATGTGTATACATTTATCATTGCGGGATTTAAGAAGTGGTCCACACTTGTCTGAAATTAACAAAAACATGTACATACTGACTGATGTCACTGAAATAAATGCGCTCACCTGTTGAGATATTTCTAGAATCTAACACTGACCTGAGACGGAATGTCGTGTAAATTTATATAATTCTTTTGAATAACAGAAGAAAGCCAACCAAAACTGTTGTACCCATGAGTATGAGAAAGATAACAGATAATAATAATGTGTATATATTTATCATTGCGGGATTTAGGAGGTGCTGCACACTTGTTTGAAGTAAACAAAAAACATGTGCATACTGATTAATGTTACTGAAATAAATGCTCTTACCTTTTAAAATATTTCTAGAAAACAAAACTAAAAACCGATGGCCGCTTTCCTTGTACTTTTGCGGGCGGATGTTGACGATGGAGCTTCACTTCTGCGCATGTACGGTAAATCGATCGCACATGCGCATTATGTAACGTGGCTATAATTAGATATCACTAAAAATTTAAATATTAGTTTCGAATATATTTGCTTAAATTGTCGCAAACTATCTCTAACAATGATAGGTTGAATTTCAAACCATGATGGGTGAACATCCGGTATCAAAACAAACATATCCTGAAACTTTCAGCTAAATCGGTTCAGTAGTTTCCGAGTCTATAGCTCATAAACAAACACACAAACATTGATTTATATATATATATATATATATATAAATGCACACTCATTCGGTCGCCGATTAATTTATATAGGTTTCACACCTTCACTGATTTAAAAAAGGAAACGGATAACAAAATACCGCTTCTCTTTGCTGTACGTCAAAAGTGGGGCGGCCATCTTTAAATTGTCATTATGACGTCACAGCGTTTGTATGCACCGTGATGTCATTTTCTTCACCCTTTTGACATCGTTAGCAACAAAATTGACAGGTTACAATAAAATGACATTGTAACTGTAAATTGTATCACACTTTTAAGGTTTTCATTTGACACTTTCTGGTGTAGGTAATGATACTTGCTTTTTCTGTGAATTTATATACATAGCTGTGCTTATATATCTCGATAAACTTATGGAAAGTTTCTTATTATACAGAGTACGTTTTTTTTTTTTTTTTTTTTTTTTTGGTACTGTTCTCTGTCGAGTTTAAAGTGTTTTAGTTTCCAATAACTGGAGAAAGGTTGTGGAGCCAAGTTTATGCAGATGCTACTATTATAAAATAAAAATAAATGGCCAATGATCTAACTGTTTCAGATGCTGGATCAAATCGGCTGATGCATACGAATGGATCCTGCGAGCACCAAGTCTCTCAGCGCTTGTGGTGAGTAAACATTTTTGCAGACTTTACTCTTAATACGATATTTACAATTATACCCGTGTTTATTAATCAATCGATTAGTTTTTCTTCTCTGAGATGATGCCTGAGATTCACCATACCATCCCCTTTTAATCTTGATGCCGACCAGCGAGGCAGATCGCGAATACCTAGTCCAACCTCCAGATACGTTATAATTAGTGCATCCGAAATCTCTACCTTGTTGTACCCCACCACGAAATCACACAAACAGTAAACACCCGGTGCCACCATGTAAATGTAGATGTTGAGGTTCCAGGAACCCCTTTCAGCCGTTAGGCTATATTTATGGCCCGGTTATATTCAGGGCCCCCGGCCAAAGCCAGGGTGGGGCTTCATATAATGAAAAAGTGCATCCCCCATTGGTACAACGCTTATAACAAACCAGAATTGGCAAAAAGAGCCAAGTGTAACGTGCAGTTCTTCGAGGGTAAAGAGAAAGCAACAATAGCATGTGTTTAACCAGGACCCTTTAAATATTTTGCCGGTTCCTAAATCAGCTGGCGTAAATGCCTAAAGGATCGGGTGCCTCACGAGATGAGCAAAAACAAGCTCCTAGATGTCTGGGATCATACACATATCAGTGGGTTTGGGGAAAGGAGGGGGTGGGGGAAAGGATGGGGTGGGGGGGGGAGGGGCTCATTGAGTTGCCTTCCTGTTATGGATTGGGGCTTGTTGTTCTTCCTCTTGAACGAGGAATTCACATTAGGTGCCAGAAATAGGCTCGCATTAGTTACGTGCTTTCTAAAACGCTCCTAGTAAATATGTCAGAGAGGCAAATAGCGTGTGATAATAGTTAGCTGTTGCATTTGCTTCCATTAGTGGAGGAATTTGTATATGGATCCATCACCCAGGTGCTGCTGGGCTAAGTGCGTGGCGCCACACTGTGAGTTGTGGATGTTATTCGGAGAGCTTTCGACTGTGCTCAACGTGGTTTGTCTTGTGATTTGCAGATTCATAATGTTATGAGTGACATGTTTCCCAGATCCAGTGATGCCACATGTAATTACATGTGTGTCCAACTACTCATGTGTTAAAACTGCTGGGTCCATCAACGATGACCTGCGTTTCACGTGCCAGGCTGTGTTGGCACTTCTAACGGCTGCTTTGTGCATTAAATGCGTGTTTACGCTATTGGCTTTGTCTGTGTCAATTATTTCACAAGGGACAGTGATAGGCATTCTGTGTAAAGCTTGTTTTTACAGGAACAGAGCAAGTATGCAGTGATTTCTTTCGCTGTAATGCTGGATATACGATTACGCGCTTACCTGACTACCACGGGGGAAAAGCAACGAATTTTAACACAACTTAAAAACCTATAGTAACAGGTACCTATAGTTTTGAGTCCATCCTGTCCTGTTGAAAACTGCAAACACTTATTTCAAAACGAAGCTAACCATTCTAAAAAAAATAATAATAATAATAATAAATATGTTGTCAATCAGTTTAAAAGACCCCCTGTATGAATAAAAGGAACGGGCGGAGGTGGGTTTCCCATCTTCTATATCTGCAGACCAGGAAACTGTGGCCGTGAGGCCACAGGCGAACGAGGCTCTGGCTCGCCAGATGGGATGGGGTCCATCTGGTCAGATTTTTCCTTAAACTGCGACTGGCCTAGCAAGCCGGCAGTGGATTTTTTATTGCTACGAAAATTAGAAACATCAGATGCTGCCCGCCTTGCTTATGACAGGAACTTGCATCTCCCCACAACGCTTAGCGGCATACGTGGGAGGAAAAAGTAAAAGTAAAGTAAAGTATATTAATAAAAATCTGAATTTTCCGGTGATGAAAGCTAAAAACTCGGAAACTACTGAACCGATTACTTTCAAATTTGCACACAACGTTGCCTTTGACTACAAGCGTGATTTTTTGTGTGTCAGAAAATCGCACAAACCACGAACGACGTAGCTCCAACAACGTTCAATTCAATCTTTGTTTCTTTGCCGGCCCGGATTTTTTTTTTTTTTTTTTTTTTTTTTTTGGTGATCGGCCATATTTGACTGCTGAGCTCTTATTAAACTTTGCATTATTATATAATTCCATTTCTACTTTTTGCTTGAGTGTTTGGTAGCGTAGTTGTTAACTATTCTGACTATCATGCAGGTGACACGCGTTCGATTCCCCGCTAGGAGAATTAACTGGGCGGCTAGCACATTGTGTTGTGGTTTATTACTAGGCTGCGATATCTACGCCTTTTTTGGTTTTGGAGTTTACAGCTAGCCTGCGACGTGATGCTCAATGGTCATGTCACGGGTAATCTTCATTCCCCCTCGAGAGGGCCGTTGGCACGTTGTGTTGTGGTTTACAGCTGGGCTGCGATATCTGACCTAAACTCTTCAGTCGTCGGTAGTAAAGTTGTAAGTATGTCATCCTTCACTCGGGTGACCGGTGTTAGATTCCCCGCTGGGTGATAATTGTTCTTTTTCCCCTAAAATGATAGTTGCCACGTTGTGTTGTGGTTTACAGCTAGGCTGCGATATCTGCCCCTTTCCCCCAAAGACATCCGATTTCAATTAAGTCCTAATTAGCCTCCCCGCGCTTCTCGATCAAAAAATATTCGGCAGTGACAGAAACTGTTCACTAAGACGGCTTACAGTCCAGCTCAGTTTGGGTGGTACGGATGCCAAGGTCAGTTAAAAATCGTTCCCTCGGAGAGGGAGAGATGACGGGTGCGGGGTATTTTTCTCCCTTATTCGTGAGTATAGTGTACTTTTCACTGTGGGTTCCATCACTGGTTACGTGATGAAGTTATTATTCCTATGTCCGGGGCAAAATCAAAATAAATAGTCCGTGGCTACAGCATGCGGCGCTAACTCCTCTTTTCTACACCGACCTACACAGACTGTAGTGACAGATTCTGTTGTTGTTGTTGTGATGGTGGTGATGGTTGTGGTTGCAGTAGTACTGGTACTGGATGGGTGATATGGTAGCTGTTACACTGGCTACATTTACTTCTCTGTACAAGTTAATGCTACCTATTTAAGTCTGGGTAGACACGGATGCAAAGCTCAATTTAGTTACAATATTTCGTTACACGGTGACTTTCCCATCCTTCGGAGAAGATGATATGATTGGGGGATGGGAAAGGGGGGGGGGGGGGTTATGCCAGACACAGTTAGCTGAGAGAGCTTATATTGTTATTTTAAATTTCTCATTTCTTAACTATTTCTATTTTAATAATTTCGCCAAGTGATGATTTGTCAATCCTTCGGAGAGTGAGATATGATTGGTGGAAAGGGGGAGGGGGTTATGCTAGACACAGTTAGATGAGAGAGCTTAAAATATTATTTTAAAGTTCTCATTTCCTAACTATTTCTATTTTAATAATTTCGCCATGGATGATTTCTCAATCCTTCGGAGAGGGAGATATGACTGGGTCGAAGGGAGAGGGGGGGGGGGGGGTATGACAGACACTGTTAGCTAAGAGTTATTTTCTTTCCTCTCCACAGCAACGCGTGGCCGGGTACAGCTAGTGTATGAATAAAGTAGGGCGGGGGAGGGGCGGGGGATTGTATGTGACGAAATAGCTACACTTTACCTAAGACTTTCAGGGTCGTGGGTTCAGTTTACGAACGGTCGTTGAATTCACGAGTGCATCATTTTCAGAGATCACTGGAGATCTTAGCAAGAGCTACGTGCTCTCAGGATGCTCTCAGGGCGGCTAGCCTTTAGGTTTACTGAGATCGAACTATGGGGTAATGATCCTTCGGACTTCAACTTTGACCTTAATTGTAAGTAGGCTAGGTTGGGTTCCAGTGTTCTTTCATGCCACCCTGATGAATGTTATTTGTTCTTCCTCATATTTTGCCTCAGACCTTCTGACATCTTCTGTGACATAATGATTTCGAAAACAGAACAATAGCATTGTTTGATTGCTTTTCTGTTCTACTATTCGTTTTGTATTTTATCATTGCTATCTTAATTTTTCGAGACACTCTACTGTCGAAAGGGAGCCACTTTGGTGTAGCAGCTAGACATTGGGCTGCAGATCTGAAGGTGGCACGTTCAAATCCGGACAGTGCTTGACTTTTCTTCAAAAGTGACCTGGCTTTCAGGTCGACCAAACCTTAACGGAGTCTCAGCTAGAATTCCTGGGAAGTAAAGGCAGGTGTTGTGATGCTGATCATGTTACACGAAAAGTGCCCGACTGGTCTATACAATTTATGTCTAGCACTATATGTTTGATACGACTGAAGGTGTGAAAAAGGGTCTATTGCATTACCTTGGCTACATTTCTGTCGAAAGCAACACAAATCAGTTCTTTGCGAAATCACCCACACCTGAATCGGTTTGGCGTAATCTTGAAACTGCTTTTGTAACTCCTAAACCACAGACATTAACAGCCAGAAATACCAGTGTAATGTGAATGTCATTTTGAAGATGTTTATCGTTTTCTTGTTATGTTTATTCGTGGACAGGCAAACGTGTTCTTTCTGCTGCGTATTGTGTTCATCATGGTCCGACAGTTGGAACCACATCCTAATGAGCCTAGTAATTTCAGGTAAACATGTGCTGTAATTGTCGCTTACACGTTCCATTGTAAAAGAAAATAGATATTTTTTGACTGTTTTATTACTGTTTACTATTTATTGCAAATACGCCACCCGGTTTGTGTCTCGCTGTGCTCGTGACAGAGGTCGACCAAGTAAGCAATGGACAGATTGAATAAATGAGGCAGTAAATATCAGCATCTACATAGCACATACTAAGGTGCTCACCCGATCCCTCTTCAAAACCTGACGCTGAAAGACAAAACAGTAGTAGAGAACAAGGAGAAGAAGGAGAAGGGAACGTAATGACTAAAGTAAGCAAAGGTCCTATTTCCACTCCTTTAGTCGTATAGGGAATATAGAGCTAGACCTATATGTTTATAGACCTATCGGCACTTGGTGGGTGACGTTTTCAGCATCACACCGGCCGCCTTTACTTCACAGGACTGCGATTGGTACCCACTTAAGGCGGGTCAACATGGAAGTCAAGGTAATATTTGAAAAAAAAAAAAAAGTTCCACTCCGTTAAGGCAAAGTAATGATTGTCAAAAATATTGGCACAGCGAAGAGAACGCTAATTGTATGCTTGCGCCACTCATAAAACAACTATAATATATTAAAGCTAACAGTTACAAGCACTTGGATGCTAGCTGTACGCGCATTTTCTCACCAGTGAAGCGATGCCTATTAAATTGTCACATGATACCATCGCCAGTGTAGTCGTTATTTACTAGCGCCTACATGTGGGAATTGTCCATGCCCCGCCAAAGACGTTAATTCTTTAATAAAAATTTTAATAAACCTCGTAGTTTATAAACGAAATTATGTCCATCTGTGTACTATTGATCAGCGATGAACTGACGTTGTCAGTGTAGAGCAGGGGTGGGCAACATTTCTTGGTCTGTGGGCCAAATTTAGAATTGCCATCCTGGTCGCAGGTCATAGAGAAAATAAACTCCATTAAAACCGATGTTCCGATATCCTGGCAAAAGGTCATTTTTGCAGGATAATCTAAGATTATAATCCCTTGATACGCCTCTGTATTGACCAGAAACATATTAATATATGTGTGTGTAACTTGTATTTTAAAGCAGGTTTTTTTGCAGAAATAATATGTTTGAGTTAGAGGTGGAGCCTGATTAGGTTGTAATTTCACGTCAGCCCTGAAGCCATAGTTTTTTTTTTTTTTTTTTACCCTGGAGTAGAGTGTGCATGGCGGGACCCCGGAAAACCGGATAACTTTTGCCAGTACCATGGATTTGTGTTAAATCCCAAAGAATTTAACTAAAAAGTAACATATATTCAGGTGTAATTAGTTCAGTAGGGACACTAGAGGACAGAAGTCGTTTAAATACAAAATCAGATTCAAAAAGTGACTATAACAAAAGTTCGTGATAAAAGACAGCAAGAACATTATATTACCATTGGAGCGAACAAGAAACGTATGAGTTAGTTGTTAAACATTGAAAGCACTTAGCATCTTGAGCCTTACTGAAACATGGTTGTAGTAGTAGTGGTTGTCGTGATAATAGTAGTAGCGGCAGCAGCTATAGACGTATATGTAGGAGAATCAGCAGCAGTTGCAGCAGTAGCATCTGTGTGTTTACGTTAATGTATAACTGCTGTATTGTCTTGCTCACATGCTATACCTAAATAGTTTTGTCGGTTTTTGATTTAGTGCTTTTTAATAAGATGTCCAAACATTGTTATTCATTGCCTCTGTATAAATTGAATTGATTCGTAGTTTGACATGAAATCATTGGTAGTTTTGCATTCACCTCTATTAAAAAAACCCACACATAGCAGACGCTCTGCCTTTTGATATTTGAGTCGTGAACTATTACTGATGTTTTGTTTTTATGACCTCAGTATCTACTTATCTACTCATTATCTTGTGTGGGCGGGTGGGAAAGGGGAAAAACTAGATAAAAAAGAGTCACCAGACATAAACTTATTATCTACGAGGGGGGGGGGGCAGGAAGAAACAGTCACCAGACATAAACTAAGAACAATAATAGGCAAACTGCCGGTAAACAATTTCACAGAACATCACGGAATCAATGTTTTGGTCATCAGGTAAGAATGAAACAAAATCAGTCACCAGCAAGAGAGTATTACATGAGAACTACAGGCTACAAGGCAAGAGGACGACCAAGAAAGAGATGGGTTGATGGAGTAAAAGAGACACTACAGAAACGCAATGTAACATTTCCACAAGCAACACAATTGCTAAGAGATATGAAACGATGTCAAGTTCCTTTCTCCGACGCTTCTTCGCATAAGCAGTACTACACAAGAAGAAAGAATATCTTCACAGTTGTAGTCATTCGTGTCGTTATATATCGACTTGCCTAGACACTCAGTCTTGAGAATAACAGGGGGACCCAGGTGCAGAACTATGGAAAGAGAAAACGTATCTAACATTGCAAAAGGAGCAAAGAATTATTACGTACAACGTTACTAAGCGAAAGTGTCACGTTCAATATTCTACTGACAAAAGTGGAGCGAGAAATATAATTATAACCCTGATATATCAGAATATTGTTCTCACTAGACAAGAAACCCGTTTCCGTAACGTGGCGGTCATTATACCTGGATTTAATGGTTACTTTGGCATTTTACCCTGTTATATATGACTGGGTACAGCAGAAATACTTTCCTGCTTCCTGGTTGTCTAGGATGTCTAGAAATAAATGCAGTATGAACGTGACAGTGGATTAGTGTCAGCTGACTGCTTGTAATCATCCATGCACGTTATTCTGTTGGTTTCTTTCCTATATTTGTCTTTGTTACATGCCACTGTGTAATACTTTCGTTTGTTACAACCCTCTTTTTTGTAATGTTAATATGGAATAAACTAGTAAATCATTGTATTTTTTTTTTTTAAATAATTGCCGGTTGGAAAGAATAATTTTTCTTCGCTGTCTAATTCATTATTTTTTTTTTTTTCAAGTATTAAACCTGCCTTAAGCAGTTTAAGACAGAAGGCTACATCTTCTGTACAACGAGCTTGATAGAAGCACGTAGCCAATTTTATTTTATTTTCACGTTATTCGTGTTTACATCCAACTTTAAACAAAGTAAGAAGCAGAACAGTTTACTAAAAGAAAAGTACAAAGAGTGAGAACGGAATCTAAATTCCAGAGTTAGATAAATCGGTGTATTCATTGTATACATTGTAACATCCACGCTTCACTCTCGTACTAGTGACTGACAGGTAAGGGACCTTTCTCCACACCTTCACGCATACTGGGTGTATAGGGTATATACCTATATTTTTTCATAGACAATTCAGCACTCAATGTGTGATGTGGTCAGAATAGTGCTGACCGTCTTTACTTCTAAGGCCTTTACCTGGTTAGCTACATGTCATTTACACGACAATGCAGAACCAACTCAAACATGTGTTTTTTATGTGAACAAAGAAGACGCAAGTTATAGATAGCACAATTTATTGCCTAGTTTGATCCAAACAATCGACCCTCGATACCATTATCAAAACCAACGCAAGGCAGCCTGCTGCCAAACAGCCTGCAGCTTAGATCGAACCCTGCACCTCGGCATTACGAAGCGTGTTCGCAACGCCTAACCTACGAAAGCCAACTACTTATTAGTATTACTAGGCTTTATACAATTATTTCTGAAAGTGATCAATTTCCGTCTTTTCGACACACAACTACTTTACGTGATTCTTTTAATTTAATCAACAGCAAGCCGTGTGAGCCGGACTAAAAAAAAAAAAACTGATTTACTCTCATAATAATACCAGAATTTATGGCGATTAGGTTAGAGCTGGGTCATTTTTATCTTTATAATTTATAGTCCCGCAGCTAGTCAAGTCACCACGAACTGTATGTACATTGTAGGAATTTTTTATTGCTCCCGACAGAAAAAAAAAAAGAAGAATCCTATCGCCTTAAAGAGGTTCAGGCTTAGGTTTCTCGAATGAGATCACAGCGTACTAACCAATCGACCAGACGCTCCTCTCTTCAAAAACTGTTCCATGATTTGAAAGTGTAAAAGTACAGCAGACGCGAAGTACTGTTAAAAAGAGGTCACTTCCTACTAAGGGTTTCATGCTGAAAGTAGAGTAAAAATACGAGGAGGATGGATACAATCAAAGGACAGAACACTGTCATGTTTCTGATAGCCTTCATGAAACAAATGGCATTGTCATTGCGTGCTTGATGGTTGTCCAAAGTGGCTTCAGACATGAAAAATGGAAGAAGCCCCAGTGTCTGCACGGTGTAGAATGTCACTACCACAAGTTTCAATTTCCTGTGGGGTACTACGGTGATTGCTTTATGTTGTTAAAGCTGTTTGGTTATTGTTGGTGAGAAAAGCAGTCTTGAGAGCCCATTAGAATTTTTGAGGTTATAACAACCTTGGAACATGCCACGTCAATCAGTCAATCAATCGGGTGCCCTCTTCACAATTAAGGTGGGTTGCAATTGATTTTAAAAAAAAAATGTGTCCTTGGTCCTGGTTGTACATTGTCTGAATATGTTATACGTCCTAATCCTGGCCTTACCATCGTATATTTATCGATATACACCCTTGCTCGTTTGACTTACACATTTCCTATGCTGTTGCTTAAAAAAATAATGTTATTCCTACAAACTGGCTAAACTATTTCACTTTTTTCATTATTGTTTTCTTTCTTTGTGTGTTACCTCGTGATTTTATTAGTTCTTTCATTTTTTTTTTTTTTCTAATTCCCCTATTATTAATATTATTGATATTATTTATTTTACAATTATTCATATGCTTCTTTTTTTTCTTCTTCTTTTTCTTTTTTTTTTTCTTTTCTTCTTCTTCTTCTTCTTCTTCTTCTTCTTCTTCTTCTTCTTCTTCTTCTTCTTCTTCTTCTTCTTCTTCTTCTTCTTCTTCTTCTTCTTCTTGTGCTGCTACTGCTGCTTCTGCTTCTGCTTCTTCTGCTTCTGCTTCTTCTTCTTCTTTTTCTTCTGCTTCTTCTTTTTCTTCTGCTTCTTCTTCTTGTCCTCCACCTCCT